AAGTGGTAATGCATGTCTATAATCCTAGCACCCTAAGGAGGCTGAGGCAGGAGAATCACAAATTCAAGCCCAGTCCAGGGAATTTGCTGAGATGTTTCAAAATTAAAAAAGAAAAAAGAAAAGGCTAGATGGTAGTTCAGTGTGAGGATCCCTAGATTCAATCCTTGGTACTTGAAAAACGAAAAAAGTAAATCCAGCATGAAATGTTGGGAAATATCTTTGGTATGTGCAGAAATACAAACAGAGGTAAAAGGAACAGAAAAACATAAAGAAAAAAGAGTTATATGGAAATTAACAACATGCGATGAAGGGAAAGGATTACACAAGCAGAATGGCACACCCCAGCATAGTCCTGTGGAGTGCCTGGGCCACCTCCTCATGCGGGAGCTCCCTATGAGGCAAGGCCCATGAGAGGCGCTCTGTATGCAAGAACTCCCACAACTCTCCCAACTCCATAGAGGGAGACACTGTGCTACTGTTATCCCACTTTACATATCAGAGAGCTGAAGCCAGGGAGGCTGGAGACCTACCCAAGGACATACAGCCGGCTGTGTGATGAGTCGCACAACAGGACTCCAGAATTCTCACTTATAGTCTTGTCATATTTCCTTTGGATCACTATTAGTGTGTTGTTTCAATTTTGAATAGTTATATAGATATAACTTTACATTATATCTTTGCTTGATATTGTCCATAAACGCCACATTTTCCATTTTAGAATGGTCTTTCTTTTCTTATCTGCAACACCCTCACTCCACCCATCTGTCCTTGAATCTTTCTATCCATCATCCACATATGTCACTTGTTTTAAACTCATGCAAAGTTAATTTCACACTATGCGAGACAGTCTCTGAACTGACTGCATGTATACAACAGTTCCCACATTATAAATTCTAACAATACCTAAAAATACAGCAACAACACCCTGTCTTAGGTATAACCCACTTCTAATAAACCAAAAACAATGAATGGCTACCCATGCACACAAAACCACGGCCTTCAGACCTTATTTTTAGAACCCAAACTTTTCAACCATCATGTGGATGCCTAGAATGAATTATGCTAAGAAGAAAGAAAAGATAATCTGAGGAAAGTAGGGGAGGGGAAGGACACAGAGAAGAGACACTTAAGGTGATCCTTGCAGACTATGTGCAGCAAGAAATGGATGCGGGCTTTTCTGTAAGAAGCCTCTTCCTTTTGAGGAGGAGACTGACACTGTGGACTAGAGTAGACCCAAGCCTGATTAAGGCCCGGTGATGTCTGCCCTGAAAGCAGGAGTGGGAAATGTAAACAGGCTTCAACAGGTACAAAGCTAACAGGCAGAACAGTGATGTGGTTAGGAAAACACTGTATGCAGGATATTGTGCAGGAGAAGAAATGGGAGCAGTAAGAGTAATATTTGGGGACTAGAAAGTTATTAAAGAATATGTGAACCATGTGGCAGCAGAGTACACATCACTTGGCAAATAACCGAATTTAGAACGGGGCAAGTAGACAGATAGGGGTTGAAATCAAGGATAACAATGAATTAAATCTGGCCTCACCACTGTTAGCCTAAGCAGCTAAAACTACCCTGAGTGGTACTGGTAGGCAGCATCACGAATGAGCATAGAGAAAGTGGGAGAAGCTATTTTGAAGGATATTGGGCTTCCTATTTTAATACAGATTTCCTTGACTTTTCAAAATTAATTTCTGCAAATGAAGGTTTCATGCCAATATATAAAAAGACAGAAATTTAAGTCCCACAGATATTTTATTCCAGCACTGTCAAACTGTGACAAGATATGTCATAGATTCTATCAATATTCTCTAGCTACAACATGTGAGTACCACAGCTAATTTGTTGACAGGCATGCCTTGATAGCTAGTGATGACAGACTTTGAGTTGTGTGGTAGGTGACTCAGAAAGGCTATGTGCGTGCGTGCGTGCGTGCGTGTGTGTGTGTGTGTGTGTGTGTGTGTGTGTAGGACAGGCAGGGAGAGATGGATGTCAGGTAAGGAGAAATTCAAAGGCAAGGGATACAAGCAATGTCCCCTTGCTAGAGAAAACATTACTAGCACGCTGGGGCTCTGACATGTGAACAATACAATTTCTTCAGCAATCTTTTTCTAAAAAATAATTTTATTGAGAAACAAATAGCAATGAGACAGTTTCAAAAACAATCAGTAGGACAGTTTCAGTAATTAATACATTGCATATTGTTGTCTTAGTGGTTATTCATAGTACAAGATGCAGACATGATATCCTGTCCAAACACTCTTAGTACAAATCTTCTTATTGAATTAAGAGAAAGTAACTGTATATCTATCCTAATTATCCTGTATATGTAGATACAAAATGGTCCTTCCTTTGTATCCCCTTTTTTATTTAGTTTTGTCAGAAATGGGTATTCCATGGCCATTTAAATATTGTAGGTGCATGAATTCTGCAAAATAATTCAATATAGTCCAGTAGTCATAATAGTAGTGGGTTATCCATAGGACTGGCAATGTCAGAAGTTGTTGACTTGAGCCTTTTACAGCTCAGCATATTAATATGGCAGAAAAGCTAGGAAACATGACAGGGGCGAAGACACGCATTTATATGAACAAGATAGTTAAGGCAATGATACCAGGAATCTTCAGCAGGTTTTTGAAACTGGCAGTTAAATGGTAGGATTCTCACCCTGACTAACTATATATGCTGATACCTGTGAACTAAGCAACTGCACTG